TCCTGCTGCTTGGGGAGCTCAAATAGAGATGTTGCATGTTTGCTCAGAGCCCTGCAGTGGAACCAGAGCAGAGAGGCAACAATTACCCGTGTGCTCTGCAAATGGTGCACAAAATATTGTGTGGTAGCTCCTAATATCCGAGCTCCTGCTGTGAATAATGTGGCCTGTGAAATAACAGCAGAAAATTCGTACTTGACAGGAGACTAATCACAGATTCTGATCAAAAGGCACAAAATAGGTTTGGCTGAGAAAACATTCCCAAACTTCAGGCTGGGAGCGAAACAAATCCCAAAGAGCGCAGGAGAAGGAAGCGAGTCCCCGTGGCAGCGGCTGTGCCGGCTGCAGGGCAGCGGGTGGCACCTGGGTTTGCCACCTTCTCCGTCGCGGTGCCAGGCTCGGGGACATGCCCATGGCCAGGCTGAGCCCCGGCCAAAGGCCAGAGCTGCTGGGGACCTGGCGCTTGTCCGTGGGCTGAGCTCCAGCGGAGCTGGGCAGGCGGCAGCAGCGCGGGGACGGCTTTGCCGCGAGGGTCTGTCCTGCCCCCTGCCCCACGGCCACGGCTCCACGCGTTAAATCCATCCCCGTTGAACAGCCTTTGCATAAAAGTCCTCTGGAGCACAATCAGGAGCGCGCGTTGCCTCATCCTTTTAACAAATATGGTTTGTAGCCCTATTAAAAGGGGTCTTCATCTATCCTGTCAAAGCTATTCTGCTGGGGTTTTTTAGTTTAATTACACTATCCAATTAAAACTCCTTGCTGCATTTTGATTCACTTCTCCTTGGGCTTGAGTGGATATGACATTTACAAGGCTCGCCTTTCAAGCAGACAATGGTGTGATTGATGAGGTGCAGACACAATGAAGGAGGCGATTGCCATGTGGAAACACTGCTTAGTGCATTTTGATTTATTTATCATCTTTTTTCCCCCAAACAAGGTTGCTGGTGAAGAGGTTTTGGGCAACCCCAAGTTCCACCTCAATTTTTACCGTTCTTGCAAAAAAATCTTTATTAGTATTCTACCTTTGATAATAATTTGAAGAATAAACAAAAGGCTTTGGGGGAAAAAAATCCAGGTGTGTGAAAAGTTACCACGATTTGACCTAGGAGTGGATGTATGCAACGCAGTGGAGGTATGCAGCTCTGCTTTCAGGACACCTGGAAACAAGACAGCCACTAGCAGCATTGTTTTATAATAAGCTACAGTAGAAAATAAAGTCCTGAGTTGTAGCAAAAGGGGTCATGAAACATGCTGCTTCCTGAGAGAGTTTTTTCCTTATTATTTTTTTCCTTAACACTGATATAATTTGTTCCCACCAAAGTAATGCCTTGATTTGAGGGAGATCCATCACAGGTACAGGTGGGCTCAGGATTTCATTTATAGCTTTGCCATCACTACCTCTGGAGGAGACGTTGCTTCTGAAAGATGTTCCTCAGATCAATGTCACTTGCATAAAATGGACTTGACCCAACTTTTATAGTCAGGACGATGTTCCTGTTCGGTCTGGGTCCCCAGCAGAGCTCTGGGCTGTGTCCCTGATAATCCAGCTCCCGATATCCCCCCAGGAGAAAACCTCTAAGTTTTCTTGTTGCTGGGGTTTGTCAGGCTGGGTGTTTTGGTGGTGACACAACACTTGTATTTTGGTAGGACCTTCAGGCTCCAGGGTCACTGCGTTGTTTCTGAGGTAGCACATGTGGATTTCAGACAAGAGAGTCCCTCCCCAAAGCTTTTAGATTGAATAACCGGTGGTTGGTGAGCAGAGGTTGCCTCATCTCTTGCAGTGTTAAGTAAATTTGCCTTTGTACAGAAACATTGCTTGGCTGCATTTTATTTTCATCGTTCCTTGCCTTTTTACGCATATATTTCAAATTCTTTGTGATCCTTTCTGAGTCTGTGAGAAGAGATTTCAAGGTATGATCCTGTTGTAGACACAGCTTCTGAAAAGGTGAAAATCTGCGGTGATGTCAAATGATGCCCGTAAGTGTTTTGTTCTTCAGAGAGGTCTTTCTCGAGCTATTTATTCCACTAATAACTCTTAATTGTTGACTTCTGCCTTATGGCCCTGTAATGACAAAGCAATCATCAAGGTATATTGAAAAATTAACATAAATTTGCATTTCCCAGTGTTTGTTTTCTGTTTTGTCCAATTCATGAATATTCTTTTCATCCTCTGTCTAATTAGTGATTTAATTCAGTGCATGCTGTTTGAAGAGCGGCACTGGCAGAAGAGAGGTTTGGGGTACAGTCTGAATTGGGGGACTGGAGAGGAAGAAGAAAAACTATTTCTAGTCCTGGCAGATTCGTTAAAAAAATTGTCTTCTCTTGTGCAAATTCACATCCTTCCAATGTTTTCCAGACCAAAAGTCTATTTTTTTAGACTCTGATAAAAAGAGTTTATTACTTAGATTAAAAAGTGAGTTCTTTTTTTACACATATCAAGTGAAGTAGGACAGGCTGCAAAGTTCTTGTGTATTTACCAAGACTGTAACTTGCAGAAATTAGCAGAAGATTTTACCAGTGACTGTACAAACACATTTTGGGCAGTAATTCTGGAGGCTCAGCAGTATTTCTCACCTGGTGCATGTAAACAGAGAAGCACTGAGGAGTCGGGGGGATGAAGTGCAGGGTGTGGAGGTTGCTGTTCACACGAGTATGGTTCCCCAAACCCATGGAAGATGTGTGGGAGAAACGTGAGCAGCACATCAGCACCCGAAGGGTTATTGGTTGTGCCCTAACTAGCCTCTTCCTTCTGTTTTTTGGCAGAATAGTGATGTTAAAAATTAGGAGATATAACAAACAATGGGAATTAAGAGTAACCGAGCTCCCCTCCTTGCCATGAAGGAGCATCCTGCCCTTGCGCCCACGTCTGCTGGAGGCTTTTCTCCAGGTGTAACCACACAGGAACCTATTAGCATTCGAGGGTTAGAAAAGATTGATCAGCCCTCAGAGCTGAGGCCAAAGGGCACCCAGGGTGGGACGTCGCTGCCCTGCTGTCGCCGTGAGGTCAGCCCCGGCGCGGGCTGGGGAGACACGGCAGGAGCGGGGCTGGCGTGGGGCACCCGCACGGAACCTGCTCGGTCCGCTCAGCTCGCCTCGTGGGTTGTGCCTGCGTCGTGACAAAAGCCTGTGGTGACAGATGAGTTTCTGTCTTTTCATTTACCTTCCATAAATGTTGGAGCAGATAAACATAGTTGGGAATAACCTGTGTTTTCCAGTGTACAGCCAATTAATTCTGATTGCAGAAGGTGGGTGTTTTCCCCTGTTCAGCCCACCCTTGCCACGCGCTGCGGTGCCCAACATCGAGCACACTCCTGCGTGTTCTCAGTGCAGGGCAGTGACATCCAGCTCCGAGTCTTTCACAGCCACAAGCTAAAGGACACCAAACCATTGTTCATGTAGGAGTCACGACAACGGAGCCGTTTGTGCAAGATCTTCTTGGTTCCTTCCCACTAAATCACCTGTCAGGGCGTGGGACTGCACGGCCGGTTGTGCCTTCCTTAGCATTTTGAATGTCTCCTTCTCTGGAGACATTCAAAACCCTCCTGGACGCCTTTCTATGTGATCTCATTTAGGTTCCTGCTCTGGCAGGGGGATTGGACTGGATGATCTTTCGAGGTCCCTTCCAATCCCCAATATTCTGTGATTCTGTGATCTGCATTTGTTTTAATTTTGCCGTCACGGGCGGTAGAAGCCACTTGAGCTGCTGCTGTTTGTTGCCAGATATTCTCATATGGAAATATCAAACCATGGAAGTTCCTATTGATCTCTGAATTGTCAAGGGTGGTGCTCTATTGGAAAGAGGTACATCACATATTTAAGCACTCTTGGAAATGGAAATCAATCTCACAATTCATAAATTCCATCTGGCTAGAATAGTAGCAGAGCAAAGTGCCAGTTATGATTTCAATGCGCTAATATTTCATGCTGTAAATAGTGTAATGTGGACACGGAGCACATAAACATAATGCTGTAATGGGGCTTTCGAGAGAAAAGTCTTCTTGGCTCCTTCCCACTCAATCACCTGTCAGGGTGTAGGACTGCACGGCCGGTTGTGCACGACCGCGCGTTCGGGCTCTGCATCGGATTCAGCACCTGGCAGGGACCGGAGCGACCTCCGTGCCCGTGGGACCGGGAGCATGTGTGCTGCCCTTGGCTGTGCTGCAGCGACTGGGCATCATTTGTTAAATGATTTAAAGGGAGGGGTTTTTTTAACTGTTATCAGCCAGTTTTTCAATATAGAATTTGTATTCCAGATTAGTGCATCCAAAAGTGTTTAATTAACATGCCACAATGAAATACTCGCATCTCAAATTTTCTGGCCCCAGATTTGAGCATATATCAGTCTTTTTTTTCTTAATTCTGGAGAATTAGGTAATGTAAATAAAATTTCAAATCAGCTTTCCTCCAGGAAAGACCTGAATTTACAGTAATATGGCTGTTCCTTTACAGATTGTTAATTTTGACCTTTGAACTGAATAAATTATGGGAAAAACTGATGGAAAAAGTATAACATCTGGAATACGCTTAATTTTAATTTTGAAGCCATGCAGATCCGTACAAGTGGAGGGTATTTTG